CTCTACCTGCACATCCTCCAACTCTTCTGTAGATATGACTCCACTCCCGTCCTCTCCCATGTTGGGTTTTGAGACGTCAGCTGACTTCTCTTTATCCATCTTTTGAAGAGACATTTTCTCACTGGACATTTGTGTAACTGAATTATTCTTGGCTGTAAATAGAGAGAAAACTTTAACAAGTGTAATTAAGAGATACAGGTTAATTCACTTACAATTGCTTCCTTAATAACTTTAAAAAGTTACTACAGACCTCCACAGAGCTATTTAAAACTTGCTTTCACTTAGGACAGCCATACCTTTGGTATGGTCATGTGATCAAATTTGGGCACTTGGCGACTGGCTCACCTTTACTGCTGTGTGTAATGTCTCAGTCACATGACCATAATTTGCAACTTATTTGACAATTTCCAGCATTTACTTCCAGTTTTTGGCACAAAAAGGCTATTGAGGAAGTGGATTTTCTTAAAAACCAATGTGTTCGCTTAACAACTGCCACAATAATTGCCACAAAAATTGGGTCTGGTGTTGTCTTAACTTAGGACCAGAACAAACTATCATCATAACTCCAAGCTCAATTATAGTCGTAAGTCAAGGACTAGCTGTACAGTGCCCCCTCTCTTTTGTATCCTAGCTTTTTCACTGGCTTTGGTTTGTCCCTGCACTTCATCACTGCCATTAAATCCTTCATTTTTTTAGATGTGAAAGGTTACCTTTACATATACAGGATACTATTCCAGCTCCAAGGATAAATCCACACACAAGTGCAAGGATAACTCCCAACGGCCAAGGAATCACTGGAATTGATGGAATTGAAGGAGTAACTGTGGGCCGAGAAGGTGAGAGAAAAAATGTAGTCCTAGTATTTTGGGTAACTGGGAGACTTGCAGGAATAATCACATCTCCCTCACCTTCTGGCTGCCAATGGACAGACTGTTCCAATGGGGTCTCCAAACCTTCATGTTCTACTCGACAAACATAAGTGACTTTAACGTTATTCTTCTGTGGTAAGAAGACACTGTTGATGGAAAACATTCCGTTGTGCATGCGGTGGACCTCCGACTTTATTTGCTCTTGTGGCACTCCGCTTTGCAACCACTGAACATTGATTTGAGAGGGATAAAATTTGCTCAGGTTGCACACGGCTACAACAAATGTCTCCCCCTGTGGCATTGTGGTGAGCTGAAGGATAGGCCGAGCTGCAAAGAGAGGAAGGGAATTTGAAGTCCTGCAACTAATGGGCCAGTGTTTCCCAACCTTGACAACTTGAAGATGGGTGGACTTCAATTCCCAGAATTCCTCAGCCAGCCGGCTGCCAAGGTTGAGAAACACTACAATAGACAATTCCCAACTCCTTGAAGCCAGTCTTGGACCCACCTGGGATTACAGATACAACCCTTTATTTAGTGACCATTTGAAGTTACAGTGGCAGTGAAAACAGTGAGATATGACTGCTTTTCACACTTACAACCATTACAGCATCCTGATGGACATGTGATCAAAATTCAGATGATGCTTAGCAAGGCATGTGTTTTATGACTGTTGCAGTGTCACAGAGTCATGCAATTGTATTTGGGACCTTCTGACAAGCAAAATTAGAGGGGAAGTTAGATTCACTTCACAATCGTGTTACTAATTTAACAATTGCAGTGATTCATTTAACCAGAATAGTGGTGGGGTTCAAAATTTTTTTACTACTGGTCCAATGAAGGGAAGAGGATTTGCTTTGCCCAATTCGGAATTATATTACCAGGTGACGAGTTTGATGTGGGTAAAGGAATGGATATCATTAAGGAATATTAGACTGTTGAATTTAGAAGGACATGACTTGCTGCTATGGTGGCATGCCTTCCTCTGGTATAAGTGAACTAAAACGCAGGGGTATTTTAGAAGACATTATATTCGAGAAGCATTGTTTTTAAACTGGGAGAAAATAAAAAAGCAATATTACCTAAAAATTCCACTATGGTTATCTACTATTGAAGCTTTTTCTTATCCAATAATATATAAAAAGGAACGAACAGTTAGATATGGTGAGATATTGAATGAAAAGGGTGAACTTAAATCTATGCAAGCATTGGAAGAACAAGTTGTAAAAATGAATTGGTTTTCAAATTTGATAAAGATATTAAAACAGAAGGTATTTATGATAAGTTGACTGATTTAGATAAAATCTTGATGGGTACTGATGAAAAAGTAATTTAAAACCTTTATGGACATTTGTTGGAGTTTAAATTAGAAGAAGAGCAAGTTAAAGTAACAATGATTGCGTGGGGGAAAAATTTTGCCATTTGATTTAAATAAATGGCAAAAACTGTGGTCTCAAAATTATAAAATGACAATGTCAACTGCATATAAAGAAAATTTGTATAAGATGTTTTACAGGTGGCACTTACCCCCAATGAGAATTGTGAGAATGTTCAAGAATAAATCGGATAAATGTTGGAAATGTCATCAGATACTTGGCTCATATTACCATATGTGGTGGACATGCTTGGATGCAGAAAGATATTGGACTAAAATCCACGCATGGTTGGAAAAAATGATAAAACAACACATAGACTTTAAACCTGAGATATTTTTATTGGGAATTATACCGGAAATATATAGTAAAGAATTGAAATACTTGTTTGTAAATGTTTTAACAGTGGCTAGAATTGTATTTGCTAAGAATTGGAAAAATGAAAAAATACCTATGCAGGAGGAAATTATTAAGAAAATCATGGACTGTGCTGAAATGAGTAAATTGACATTTGAAATCAGAGAAGAAGACATTTTTATATGATATGGGATTTATTTTATCAATGGTTAGATAAAAAGACATGGTAAAGAAACAGACTAGGAAGCTTTACAATAAAAAGTTAATAGATTGATATAGAATACAATATAAAATATATAACCATTGGGTGAATGTATAAGATTAAATTATAATGAAATTTAGAATATCTCATATAGAATGATGAAAAAATAGTTTAGTCAAATGAATGATTAATTATTGATATTATATAAGTACATGCTAGATTGATAAGGTAAGAATTTATAGAACTTGTGAGTAATGCTAAAAAAAAAGGAGAGCACAAAGGGTTGTAACCAACTGGCACACTGTATGTATATAATTGAAAGATGGTTTTATGTTTTTATGTTTTGTTTGTATATTTGTTGTAAAAAATAAAAACTTTTTTAAAAAATTTTTTTACTACTGGTTCTGTGGATGTGGCTTGGAGGCGTGGCAGGGGTAGGATACTGTAAAATCCCCATTCTCTCCCCACCCTACTAATCTGCTTTCCAGATCCATTCTCCATTCTCCTGTGCAGGGCAACAAAAGAAGATCCAGATGATCAGCTGGGACTTGGGAGGCAGAGAATAGATGGGGGCGGGGCCAGTCAGAGGTGGTATTCCGAACAACTCAAAATTTCCGCTACCGGTTTTCCAGAACTGGTTAGAACCGGCTGAATACCACCTCTGAGCTCCCAACACCTGGTCTGTAGACCAGCACCGGTCCATGGCATACCAGCAACTCGGCCACACAAACAAGCAAAGCACCATTCACAGGATGCAGGCAGCATGCAAAGCAAAGCCCTCTCCGGTCCGCAGAAAAAACTTTCTCCACGGAATTGGACCCTGGTGCCCAAAAGGTTGGGGGCTGCTGCACTTAACAACTATGGGGAAAAAAAGATTTAAAATCAGGGGAAATTAACAACTGTCTTGCACAGTAACATAAATTTTAGGATCAATTGTGGTCATAAGTCACGGACTACCTGTGTTTTTGTGACAGCTGCTGTGTGAACTAGGGTGAGTTGATATCGGTTTGTTTTAGCTGCCAATCAGGGAACACCAAAATCAGTTTCCAGCTACTGACTGTCCTGCTCTTCCATCTAAAATCTCTTCCATCTAAAACAGTGTTTCTTAAATTTGGCATCTTTAAGATGCTTGTATAGATAGTCTTCAACTTATGAATGTAATTGAGCCAAAAATATCTGTTGTTAAGTGAAACAGTTGTTAAGTGAATTTTGCCCCATTTTATGACTTTTCTTGCCAAAATTGTTGAGTGAATCACTGCAGTGATTAAGTTAGTAACATGGTTGTTAAGTGATATCTGGCTTCCCCATTGACACTGCTTATCGGAACTTTGCAAAAGATGATCACATGATCCTGGCACATTGCAATAAATCTTATAAATTCGAGTCAGTTGCCTAACATCCAAATTTTGGTCACATGGTCATGGGGATTCTGCAACAGTTGTCAGTGTAAAAAAATGGTTATTCAGTCAAGTTTTTAAGTGCTGTTGTGAGGGCGGCGGCGGAGATGAGAGCAGCAGGCAAGTAGGCTCTCTGTTTAACCAAGATCAAATTAACCTATTCTAATTATTACCTGCTTTTAAGGCTATTTTTCTATCATATCTTAGTCTTCAAATTTTTATTTTTAAACCCTTTACATTTTTGAATTTTTTGCAGTGTGATCACTAAACCACTTCTAGCTATATTTCAGCTTCAGATTAGCTGTATTTTTTAAAAAAGCCCGAGCTAGGCCTCAGCTATAGGAGGGCCTTGCCGCTGCTGCTTCTTTGTTGTTGTCCTAAAGATCTTCCTCCTTTAGCTGGAAGTCTAGCAATGCCTAGATTTGATGTGATTTCTCTTATCTGATTTATTCTATTTTTATCCACTATTTTTATTATTTTATCATTTTTATTTACTCATGTTCCCTGCTCTGTCGGGAGGGCAGGATCCTTGTGAGGAGCTTGTGAGGAGCTCTGCCACTGTTCGCATTAGGACTCGTTTCTCCTCAACTCCCAATTCCTTTTCCTCTGGATTTAGGACTTGTTTCAGTGACTAGACTCTATGCTATATTACACAGCTCCTCCTCTATTGTGCTATGAATATAATGAAGACAAGGAAAAGGAGCAGATCTCTCACTGACCAGGTTCCTCAACCTTCTCTGAAGCAATCCAAGATTGAGGACTTTGTTTTAGCACGGCCTCTCGGTTTGAAAGCTCCTGCTCCCTTTTGTCTGGCTGCTGCCAGTTGTCGCGATCTTCAGATGGTTGAAGGCGTCGCCCCCCACCCGAGTTGAAAACAAAAGCATATCTAAAACTACGGCCCCCAACCAATCCTTAAATGAGCCCACTCTTACAGAACTTTTGGCTCAGCAATGTTTCTTGGTTGCAGAAACTACAGCGAGCATTCAGCTCCAGCTTGATAAAATATTAAGTACTTTAAACCAGTGGTCACCAACCTTTTTTGTGCCACGGCCCGGTACCGACATCACAAAATGAACCGCAGCCCGGTACCGGCATCAGCACGCTTGACAAGGCAAGGCAAGCCAAGCGACCAGCCAGCCAGCCGTCCCCCACTTCTCCCTGCCACCTTCAACTCCTCCTTTGTACCTTTGTCGATGGGCTTTGCTTCGGGACGGCTTCAGGACGGTCGCTCGGCTCACCTTGCCTTGGGTGCTGAAAGAATCCTCGCGCCTTAGTTTCATTTGAAGCCCCCCCCCTTCGATGAAACTAAGGCGCGAGGATTCCTTCAGGACCCAAACGCCGCTTTCCAACAGGAAAAGCTCACCCAGAAGCACTTTCTTGTCAAACAAGATGGCAGCGCCCAGCAAACCGGCGGCCCAGTAGGAAATGTTCCACGGACCAGTACCGGTCCGCGGCCCAGTGGTTGGGGACTCCTGCTTTAAACTAAGTAGTTTCCTGGACTATCAGTGGGTGCCCTGGGTTGGCTGCTCGGCAGCCTGATGCAGCAGCAGGGTCGTCCCTGCCAAGCCTCAGCAAAAGCACTGCTCAACGTAATCCTACCAATAGTTCGAACCTCACATCTTTTGACGCAGTCACCCGGTCTTACAGTCAAAACAGGTGGCCCTCATCATTAATCCCATTAATGGCAACTTACCTCACTGGGGTTCAACACAGCTGGTGAGGGGCCATATATTACAGTTATTGGGGCTAAAAGTTGATGATTTGAAGAAGGTTGAACTTTTATCCTCTCCTGAATACTGCACTCGAGTGCTACTCAGTTTTGACAACTCTTAACACCCCAAAACTATTTTTCAGAAGAGGATCCCTGTTAAGATCCTTTGGCATTCTGCCAAGAAGAGTCTTCAAAGATACGTCGATTAAGCCACTCTTGAGTAATTGACAATTTGTGAGTGGCAGGAGATTTATTGCCCACAAAAGATCCTCAGCAGCACATATTAATGT